CTTAGCCGCCATATACCTAGCACGAAGATTTTCGAACTTGCGGTTTATTTGATACTATATATCGGCCAATTGTGAATTACCTTAGTGAAAACGAGAGCGTTTTTACCAGTAACAATATATTTTTGCATAAAACGGATAAAATTGGTGAAAACTGCACTAGCCCGTATAACTAATATCACGATATTCGAACATCCGGCTGACTTTACTCCTATAATATATTGAGGATGGTAAGGGTACCTCATATCCCTAACAAAAAGAATCTCGATCCTCTGATTGACGTTTTCCAAATCAACTCAATAATTAAATTTAGCCTTTCGGAAGTTCTCATTTAAGGATTATTTTAATACAATTTTCGTCTACGCGATTAAAATTTATTAATAAAACTAAGTGAGCCCTGACCTTCAATATAAATTAATAAGATACCAAATTTGATTGTTATTCATTCACGATTTCGTCGAATAAATAATGTTGAATTCTTCAGCAACATTTTTAATATAAAGTTTGCCAACACCTATGTATAAGTATTTCGCCGGCTTTGAACCTTGCAATTTGGAAGAATATAAATGTACTTGTATATAAATTCATATTTTGCAGGTTGCAGAGTTCAAACCACGTTCTGGTGTAAAATTGAAACTAACGAGAGTGCTGCTGCTCGCAGCTAACAATTTCGACAGCTCAGATGTTGACCAAGATCGCGTAAACAAAATTTTAACTGAATTAAAGGCTCTGCGGGAAAGCAAAACGTTGCTGGTGGTTAAACCATTGGAATTCGAAAGACGATGATAATAATTTCCATATGGACTTTATAGTGGCAGCATCTAATCTGCGTGCTGCTAATTATAAGATTCCTCCAGCTGATCGACACAAGTCTAATTAATCGCTGGAAAATCATTCCAGCAATTGCCACAACTACATCACTCGTCTCTGGCTTGCTGTTCTCGAAGTTATGAAACTGATTATAGGGTAACTAAAATCAATATAAAACCGTGATGAATTTGAAACATCTATGTTTATTGCCTTTAAGACATAGGAAATGGACAAATTTAAAAATGCTTTTGCAAACTTGGCATTACCTTTCATAGCATTCTCAGAGCCAATGCCTGCCGCAAAGAATTCGTATTATGGCAAGAGTGGACGCTGTGGGATCGTTTGAAGTTGCTGGAGAGCTAACGCTGCAAGAATTTCTCGATTATTTTGAAAGAAGAGAAATTGCAAATAACGATGTTATCCCAGGGCGTTTCGATGCTTTATTCGTTCTTCATGCCGAAAGCTAAATGTGCAGAACGTTTGCCTCTACCCATGACTGAAGTGGTTCGACGAGTCTCGCGAAACGTATTGAATCACATGAACGCTCCTTGGTATTTGAGATTTGTTGCAATGACGAGGATGGTGAGGATGTTGAAGTGCCGTATGTGCGTTATACTATCCCTAAAACAACTGCTCTTTGAATTCAATACAACTATTGTTTAATATTTTTGATATAAATTAATACGAATAAATATTACTTTCTGTCCTTTATAATCTAGAATACCATTATTTTCCATGTGGAAAATATAAAACAATATACAAGTCATAATTGGAGCAAAATTAATATTTCTTGCAGTTCGAATGCGTTTATC